TTTTTTTTCACCACCTTGAAATACTTTGTCTGTCTTACAGGTTGCTGAGTGACAGCTCGCAGGAGGAGTTTTGAGAGACGTGCTCACAGTTTCACTCACTGTATCTAAATTAGCAACAGCAAGATACGAGTGAAGACAAGGAAGTAACCCACTTACATTAAGTATTGTCATTGTAACTGAACAAGCTATATGAGGGGGAAAGCGGACTCTCTTTCCAGACCCACACTTGTATTACACATATTGTCATTTTTATACACATAATGTGAAAGAAAAAATGTCCTTTAGATGAGTTTCTTTGTACATTACATGTGTGTAAATGTGTATATTCATTTATAATCACAGTGAAACTGAGCTGTACAAACATGGTTATAAGTGCGTGGGAATAATGTCACGCAACCTTCAGTTAAACATCTGTGTCTTTTAGTACAATCTTCTAATTATAGTCTAACGGTTAAACCAACTTGTTCCACCTACTCAGTCTGTTCACGTGTCAGAGTTATCATCAACATAAAGTGAGAATGCAGTTCACAAAAACAGACCACCAGCAGCTTTTAATACACTCACTGTGGTCAGCTGCTAACTTCATGCTGTTGCATCACTTTTATCTGAATCAGATACACTGTTTGTGGTCAGTAGCATAATAATGCTGTGAACATGATAGAGTTCTGTCTCAAACACTCTCAAGGTAACTGCTTTTACAGGTTATAAAGGTCATGTTCCACACCTCCAAATGTATTCTTTGTTCTGTGCTCAGCATCATTATTTTGTAATTATCTTGTCATCTTGACCAGGCTGAAGGGTTTAAAAGTTGGGCAATCGAAATAAACTGTATACAAATGACAAAGAAAAACGTTTTTACTTTCATTTTTAAACCGCTAAACCAGAAAGTGACACAGTGAAATTCATTGGCATGTCTTCATGAAACTTGCTGAGCAAGAGGCTCGGTCGACCCGCAGGGTTCCCGAGGTGTTTGTCTCATTCTCTATTCTCTTTTTTTTTCTTCAAACTTCTCTTTAAACGATAATGTACTATGTTTATGATTAATGATTTCAATATTATTTCTTTGTTTTGTCCCCATTTTGGTATGGCAGATGGGCCTACATACTATACCTATAATAATGACACTTGCCCACTGGGAGACTACACATTGTCCTGAAAAACGCCATTATTAGCCCATTGTTTCGAAACCCAGTAGTCCAACAAATTCAGAAAAAAACGATGTCCAATGCTCCGATAGTCTGCTTTTACAAAATGACACTTTCCCTGGAGTGTTTTCCCCCTGAATATCCTAGTGTATTTGGACATGCAAGAAAGGACAAAGTCAGGTGACCTTTGTCGTCATGGTTAGCAGCTGACTATCATCACGGCAACTTGTATTTTGTTTCTTTTTTCACATTTCCTCCCTGATTTCTTTCTGCTGCTTCTTCTTTCATACTCATCCGTCTCCATCTTCCTCTGCTCCGTACCACTCTTGTTAGCAAGGTGGATCTTCTTCTTCTTGAGTTTTATTAGCAGTTGCCAAACAAGAAAATTGAGTGTGGATCAGAATGTCTAATATTTACATTATTGAAATAAACAAAATTGTCAAATCTTCTCATTATTATTGATTAGACTAAGATAGTAACATAGGATTGGAAAACACTTGTTTCTTAAGGTCTTTTGTAAAATATCTATTAGATCAAGCACTGGATCAATACTGGATCCAACTGGTGAGGCTTTGCTCCGATAACTTGCTTTTATGTGTGATATGTTGTTTATGAGTATTATATGCTTGTTGTAAAAGGCCTTTTTTGCTCATAAGATCTGACTGGTTGTTCTAGATCACCTGATTGTGTTGGTGAATAATAAATACTCATGATCAACCCATGATAAAAAATAAAAAGGACAGGAAGTCATGCCTTTTCTAGTCAAGCCAGACGACTAAATGAAAGTGTATAAGAGGTCACGATTCCACTTCAGGTTACTCTAACAGCAGACACCGAGGCTCCTCAAAGGGTAAGAAGCTGCCATTTTATTTTATATAATTAGATATTTACTGATATTATAGTATTATTTATTGATATAAGACTTTCAATAAAATTTCACTATGAATGTTTTAGCAAAAAAGGTTATATTTTAAAAATGTTTTTTTAATGCTGTAGATTTGAAACAGTAAAATATTTGGACAATATCAAATATGTATTTAAGGAATTTACAGGATGTTTGTAATTTTCCCTACAGTTCCTAATATCAGGTTTTTTATTGTTGAATGTGTTCTGTATGTGTTAAAATAATGTTATTAGCAAATTGCTTTACATCTAGGTAATATGAGTGACGTGCGACTGTCTTGTCTGACAAAGTAAGTACTTTCCAGGATTGAAACATATTGTCTGCTGTATTTTCTCTTCCTCTTTGTCCCTTCAAGTCACCAAAGAGGGAAAGAAGAATCTTAATAACTGAGATGGATCTGCGTGAGGCAAGATTTCAATTATGTGAGTATTCTCTAGCAAGATTAATATTTGATTAATCATTTTGAAGATTTTAAGCATGAACTCTATTTGTAATCCTTTATTTTGTGATCAGGTTAACTCTTTTATGGTAATTTTCAATTATTGATTCACAAAGGGGGCTGCACAAGCCAAGAGCGGGACACTAATTTTATTAGTCATTATGATTCAAGGGGGTGTTGCCCAATGTTTGAAAGTCCCTAATGCCTCTATGGTAGATAAAACATGAAAAAGGGCCCTGTAGGATAAATGAATCCTGACTTTCTGTTCATTGGTCTCCACCGCACAGCTGGTGATCTTTTCTTTTATCATTTCCCTAAAACCGCCTTGAGTCAGCCATTGACTCCCACTTTGAGTTTGTGTGTTTGTATGAATGAAGCTGAATGCTGTCTGAGTGTGTGCCGAAAGTGCACATTTCCCCTTATAAGTTCCATGATTTATTCCCAGTCAGCAATTTAGAGCCACTGAATTAAGTTTTAGTTCTGCTTTTTTAGGTTTATACTCGTATAGTTTGGCTTTCATCACTGTCTGATGAAGTGAGGAGAGGTGAATTTTTGCCGGCCTTTACGGGAAAATATTTGAAATAATGTGGGAAATTCGGAAGAGTAACCCTACTGACTGTAAAGTATTTATGGCAGCATTAGTAAAGTATCTGTAAAAGTGATGCAAGCAAGGTCAAGTACAGCAAAGCATGTCTAAATGCGCAACTAGAATTTGGATCTATAAAATTCAGTTAGACTTCTCCACTTTGTCAACTGTGCTTCAGGAAAAAGAACAAGTATGCTGAACCAAATATTAAGATTCAAATAATTTAGATAAAAGTTCCCTGCTGCAGTGTGCTTTTCTCTCCATTATGTTTCCAGTTGCTGTCAGTGTGCTGCTGCTCACACTTTACCCCAGCTATGCCCCAGCTATCACTATGAAGGAACATCTGCCGCTCAGTTGTCTGGAGGACAAAGACTACGATGAGCTGCTGCAGACTGTGAAGACCGGCCACCCACACATAAATACCTCTCATCATGTTGTTATTGTCGGAGCTGGCATGGCTGGACTGACGGCTGCCAAGTTACTGCAAGACGCAGGACACAAGGTACACAAGGCAACAGGCTTAGGGTCTACACATGTTATATTAAAAACAACACTGCATGAGAAAAGAACATTTTCTGATTATGAGGGCAAGCATGAACCTGCTGGGAAGTGCAGGAACCAAGTTCAGCTCCCCCCATCCCCTGTAACCACGTTATAGTTTGTGATCTGATTTGCAATTATTTAACAACATTCAAATTTAGTTTGTAGTATCTACGCTGTCACTGTAATATCAACTAAACAATTAAAGAAATGGTAGACAATGAAGAGCTGCAACATCAGGTAAAAATAAACGAGCTACATGGGACCCTAAAAACTACTTGCCTCATGGTGAACCTGTGGCCTTTAGGTTCCATGATAGTCCTGAACCCTGGTGCAGTTTCTTACTTTTCCTGGTTTGTATTCTGGCTTTGTTTAGGATACATGACTATAAGTAGCAGCACTAGTACCAGCAAGAATGGTTAGAATAGAAGCAATAGCGGAATGTATTGTATTTATTTATGTGTTTTGGTAACAAGGTAACCATATTAGAGGCTAGTGATCGTATTGGAGGACGGGTGGAGACCTACAGGAATGAAAAAGAGGGCTGGTATGCTGAGCTGGGAGCCATGAGGATCCCAAGTTTTCACCGGTAAGTTTATGTGCATTTTAAAATTTAGCATTTACATATATATTAAATACATGCAACACTCCCCCCTCTCAGACAAGCATAACAGTTTGAATTACGTGTCTTGCTTACAAGAGTACAGTAGAGAGACTTTGCAGTTACAAGCTAACTCTGCCACCATCACTTCCTGTCAACAGTATCGTCCACTGGTTTGCTAAAAAGCTAGGGGTCAAGCTGAATACATTCCACATGAATGACCCGAACACCTTTTACCTGGTTAATGGGGTACGGAAGAGGACGTACACAGTGCAAACAAACCCTGACGTGCTGAAGTACAAAGTGCGGAGAAGTGAGAAAGGAAAAACAGCTGACAAGCTGCTACAGCAAGCTTTGCAGAAGGTACGTACATAAATGAGAGATGGAGTTAACACAGTTAAGTTCATACATTCTTACATGGTACCAAACACGGTCAACTGCCCAATTCTGTGTTTTAAGCCATAAAGGAAAGCTAAATGTGGATATATTTCTCTCTAAGCAAATTCACAAATAGCAAAGATCTTGATTTTGTTGTAAATGCTCGTGTGACTGGGCCCTTAGTTTTAAACTCTTCCTACCAGTTAGGCAGGATACGTTTAAAATTCAGAACATTTGGAAGGATATATGTATGGTTGTTATGCAAATTGCCATACATTTGAGTTACACATTCCTGGTTCAGCATACATATCATTTTGTGAATACTTGTGATAACAGCATTAGATCAATGGGTGATTCAATTAACTTCATCCATGGAAGTGACAGTTTCTTTTTCTTTTTTTAGTTCAACGATGAAGTAGAAGCTCATGGTTTCAAGGCTGCGCTGAGAAAATATGACCATTATTCTGTGAAGGTAAAACATTTTAATTTGATTTTAATGTTTCACTATGGTGAGTCACATAATGTGGCCTCTAAAAGTGAACATAATCAGTGAGTTAGAATAGAGAAACTAAAAAACTGTAAGATAAGAAAAGACTTAAGGTTACTTAAATGTCATTATATTGGCCTTATTTTTCTATTTTCTATGAATTAAAATATGACAAACAATGTCAAAACTTTCCACCACGACAATAAGTCTGTAGTATGATTCTTTCTGAGTCACCATGACAGCATGGTATTTTATTTGTTTAACAGGAGTATCTGAAAGAAGAAGGAGGCCTGAGTTCAGAAGCAATAAGAATGATTGGAGACCTGCTTAATGAACAGAGCCTTATGTACACAGCCCTCACTGAGATGATCTATGACCAGACTGACATCAATGACACTGTGAAGTGAGTCCCTACATTCGATATTGTCAAACATTTCAAATGGGAATCGTATTTTATTGCACACTAGTTAAAAATGATAAATCCCCTAGCCAGAAAAAAGAGAGTTTTGTTTCTGGCCACCTAATGGGGATGTATGTCTAATACTGAGCCTTAGTTCTGCTTTGGTTTCACTCACTGATTAGCAGAAATAACCAACTCTTCAAATGCTAAAAGCTCCAAAGTCACTAGCAAGTTGCTAAGAAGATCGTGTTCAGAGGGTTTACCAGAAGGTAATACTGTGGTTGATGAAGATAAATTTAACTTGTTGGTATGATAGGAGTTGGCTTCCAGACACAAATCAATAGCATATGCACATACTGCAAATGTACACCAGTCTCTACTAAAATACACGCAATGAATGGATGTCTTTGTCTTTTTGTATTTTAGGTATTATGAAGTGACCGGTGGGTCAGACCTTCTCCCGAAAGCTTTTCTTACTGTCCTTGATGTTCCTATTCTCCTCAATTCCAAGGTCAAGCACATCAGCCAGTCAGATAAAGGTGTAATTGTATCGTACCAGACAGGGCAACAGTCTGATTTTATCGACCTTCTCGCGGATGTCGTCCTAGTAACAACCACAGCCAAAGCAGCCCTTTTCATAGACTTTGATCCACCTCTCTCCATCAGAAAGATGGAGGCCCTGAGAACAGTCCACTATGACAGCTCCACTAAAATCCTCCTTACCTTCAGTGAGAAGTTCTGGGAGAGTGACGGCATCCATGGAGGAAAGAGCATCACAGACAGGCCCTCTCGATTCATCTACTACCCCAGCCACAGTTTCCCCAAAAATCAAACCATTGGCGTCCTCCTGGCTTCCTACACCTGGTCTGACGACTCCCTCCTCTTCAATGGTGCGAGCGATGAAGAACTAAAAGAGCTGGCTCTGAGAGATTTGGCAAAGATCCATCAGAGGGATGTTAGGTCTTACTGCACAGGGGTGCTGGTAAAGAGGTGGAGCGCAGATCCTTACAGCTTGGGTGCCTTCGCTCTCTTCACACCCTATCAACATTTAGAGTATGCTAAGGAGCTCTTCAGAAGTGAAGGCAGGATACACTTTGCTGGTGAACACACAGCCTTTCCTCACGCTTGGATTGAGACATCTATGAAATCTGCAATCAGGGCTGCTACAAACATTAACGAAGAGGTGCTCTTGAATTCAGAGTTAGCTAAATGTCCAGTGAGAGATGAGCTGTAGGGTCTAAGGAATTGAGCAACCATGTATTATGGTATTAATAAAAAAGAGTGGCAAGGTTGAAATATGTCCAGCTAATGTCACAGAAATATTTTATGTTGAAATGCCACTTTAATAAAATAAGAATCAATAAATCAATCAATAAAACATGTATGTACAATAAGTGTTTGTTTTATAATGACTCATGTATATACAAAGAAAAATAAATGTTACAAAAAGATTGAGAAAAAATCTACTCATCTTTGTTCCAATGTAGATTTAGAATACCATTTTTTTCCCCTGTTGGCTGTTTAATGTGAAGATAGTTCAGTACTACACTAAACGCCAATATATCAGCCTCACAATTACTTGCACTGTCAGTAGTCCTGCAGGAGAGACACTGTGGTGGCAGGGTGGTTTTATAACTGAACTAGATTCTTTTCATTTCCTAAAGAAAATGCCTGTGAATACTGCATCTGCTGCCACCACAACCACCACTACTGCTGCAGCTTCTCAAAGAGTTTCAATAAAAGTGTTCCTGTCTGAAGATACCACCCAAGATTGATGAATGATAACTGAATACTGCATTCAATAAATGTGTTTTTATTAATGGCACCAAGGTGCAGCTATTGTCAGTATAATTGTATGAAAACCTACACAGTTGTGCAATGTGACTTTATTTACAAAGAATGTCTGTGTAGGCTTTGCTTAGAATTTGTAGGACTTAATAACCAACCATATGTTGGTGCTATTGAATATATGCATTAATATGTTTTGCACATTTCCATTCTTTCATCAGATTCTGATGAGTATATGAGCGACTCCCATTGTCGGGACATTCAAAGGAAACTCAGTAATATATTCATATAATTTAATAGCTGTAACAGATATCAAAATAAGTCATAGCTGGAATAATAGCGTGTCTATCCGCAAAAATGTGCATGTTTATTTGGTATAGATAATTTGATTGCAGTAATCAAATAACTATAAGAGCCGGACACTTTTACTTTCAGTCCTGCCTGAGAAATAATCCAATAAGGAAATGCAACAAGTCATTCATCCTAGATTTAGTTTGCTAACCACGTTTGCCATTCCCACCGTCACATTTTCAGTGTGTGCCATTTAGCTTGGTTAGCTTGTAAGGAAGTAAGAAAACTACTTCTCAGCTCTACCACAGTGCATTTTGGTGTTCATACAACACATATTTAACTGCAAGTTGACACATTCTTGATTAACACTTAGGAGGACTATGGGTTCCTTTAGTGAATGCTTAAAACCAAGACAGTAGTCAAGATCACCCCATACCTATGAAGATCGTGTCCATAAATTGATCCAAAAATCACATATAAATCCAGTATTGCTATACATCGGTTTTGCTTGGTCAGTGTATTCAGTTATGTTTTTAAAATACCAAAATGTTATGTTTTTATTTTTCTTGGTCAAAATGGGATGAGCACATTTTTGGGGGATTTTCATTTTCTATGTCATATAACAAAAATAATATCACCACAAAACAGGTGTTAAGCATTCACAAAAGGAACCCATAGTCCTCACAAGTGATGATAAATGCAGATAAAAATGAATCAGCCAAAATGCACTGTAGTAGAGCTGATATTTTAAGGATTTTTTGTTTTACTTCCTTGCAAACTAAACTAGTTTAAAATACAATCTCCATGTGACACACACTGAGTATGGCAGTAATGGCAGACCTGATGAAGATGAATGACTCGTAAAATTCTTGAATTGAGTTGAATTTCCTCATTGCGGTTGCATTTTTGGCAGAGTTCCCATCAGATAACGCCCAGACTCCTTGTTCAGGTTGAGTAATTGTGTTTTTTTTTCTGATCATGAGACCTGAGGTTATTCCGGATCACCTGATTGCAAGGGTTGGTAAATGATGAAACTGAAAACCAAACATACTGGAAGTCGTGGCCTTTGAGGTCAGGCTAGTCAAGTGAGAAAAAAATTCAAGCATCGAGGCGAAGTGCGGTATATAAGAAAGCTAAGATTTCACAAAAGGTCACTGAACAACAACATCAGATCAGCTCCTCAAGAGGTAAGAATCTGTCATTTCATCTTGTATATTTGTATATGCATGTGAAAAGATGACCTGTTATTGTTTTCTTGCAACTCTTATATTAGGAATTAATTTGCAAAACATTACGTCGCCCCAGACCGAATATTAAATAGCTATAACAAAAGACAAATTAATAAGTAATGTAAAAAGAAAATTGACTTAAAATATAAACTGCAATAGTAGAAATTTGATCTATAATGAAATTAATTTAAATTTGACTGTTTTAATTTTTACTATCTTTTTCTGTGCTTTTCTTGTTGCATTTTTCTTATTGTAAATGTTTTCTGCCATGCATATCATATGCTAAATTCATGAAAACCCTAATATAAGGTAGCATATTATAACAGTCAAAGATGAAACTTCAGTTCAAGTATTAACATATTTTGTCTCCTATATGTTTCTCCTCCTCATCCTCACCGCAGACAAGCTTCCAAACAGAGATGGATTCACGTGCCATTAAGTGGAAATTCTGTGAGTATTCTGAGCTGTGTGCTTTTTGTTATTAGATAAACCAACAAAGACATGAGATACTTTATAATTCCAAAGTCATTCATAAGTCAAGAACCACCATTAAAAGTCTTCAGTCCATCAGATATCAGACTGCCCGGAGACATCTGTCATCTGTTCCTTGATCTTTTTTCTTGTCTACAGTTTTGAGTCACTGAGGAAATTAGCCCTGTACAGTAGTTCTGCTTTTGAGCACAAGGTTTTCATGGGTACAGTTTTACTTCCATCATTACATGATACAATGCAGAGAGGGAAGTAATTATAAGTGGGATTTGCCAAAGTAAAGCCATTGCTTTTGTCTGCGGGTAATTTTCGGAACTGAATTCTTTTTTCTGAAGTTTCTGGACTCTCTGATTTCAAATCATCCACACTGCTATTTCACGTTTTATAATAGCATAGAGAGATCCAGTCAGAGCTGTACATCAAATTGGCAGCTGCCCCTTTACATATCATTTTCAATGCACAAAGCCCCAGATAGACTAAAAGGCCGCTCAATTACTTTGGCTCATTTTAAATCACCATGTGGCAAAAGCTTTTAATGCAAAATAAACCCAAAAAATAAATAAATAAAGATGATGAAATGGATAAGTATGATGTGAAAGTGAAAAAATAATTTGGTACTTGTTATAGAGAAAACCGAAAAAGTGTTCAATCTGTACACTTTCAGTTAATTATTTCCCATTATTCCTAGTTTACCCTGAACCACAAAAAGTTAAAGTTTCCTTTATATTTCGAGAAAATTTTTAACAAATTCCATAGTTTATACAAACATTTTTTGTTTGACTATGTTTAGATGGTTCATTTATCTGACTGGGTGAAGTTCTCCTGTAATAAATGGTGATAGACAGATGGTTCATCCAATCACGTGCAGGGTTTTTAGAAGTGCCCTGCCCTTTTCCAAACAGTTACCAATGAGAATTACCCATATGGTTCACAGGTTAGTTTGCTGTTGGAGTAAGTTGTGTGTTTTTCTCTCCGTGTGTTTCCAGTTGCTGTCAGTGTGCTGCTGCTCACACTGTACGTCAGCAACACTGCTGCTGTCAGCATGAAGGAACACCTGGCTGATTGTCTGGAGGACAAAGACTACAGTAAGCTGCTGAACACATTGGAGAGCGGCCTCCCGAAAATAAATAAATCTCATCACGTTGTTATTGTCGGAGCTGGTGCGGCTGGACTGACGGCTGCCAAGTTACTGCAAGACGCAGGACACAAGGTACATGCAACAGGCTGACCCTGAATGAGGAAGCCTGTTAATGCAACAAATATATATAGCAAAGAGCAAATTACATTTTATTTTCACTACTTAATGTTATTGGTGTGTGATAATGCTAAATCAAAAATCAGGACTAAGACTCCAATGACTAAGTACTTTATCTGTTTTAACAAGGTAACCATATTAGAGGCTAGTGGTCGTGTTGGAGGACGGGTGGACACCTACAGGAATGAGGAGGAGGGCTGGTATGCTGAGATGGGAGCCATGAGGATCCCAAGTTATCACTAGTGAGTGAAAATGTTTCTTAAATTAGCTAGTTTTTTCCTCAAATTAAAGTTGTGTTTTACCATTTCAGCTACTCAAAACTCACTCTTGGCTCACATTTTCAGTACTTCAGGGATCTTTGAATCACAAGCTTATCATCTCATTTTTACACAGCATTGTCCGCTGGTTTGCTAATAAGCTGGGGGTCAAACTGAATCCATTCATCATGGAAGACATAAACACCTTTTACCTGGTACATGGGCTGCGAAAGAAGACGTATGCAGTGAAAACAAACCCTGACATCCTGAAGTATAAACTGCCGAAAAGTGAGAGGGGAAAGTCACCCGACCAGCTTCTACAGCAAGCTTTACAGAAGGTATGTAAAAGAAAAGTCAATTGTATCAGCTGTTTGTCTTTTACAATTGCTGTAACTTTTCATTCCTTGTAGAATTTTAGGGGCCTAAAAGCCCACTTCAGACCAAAGATTCACGACAAGACAAAACAGTTTTAGAAGCGTGACTCAAGCTGATCTTGAATCCCCAGTGGCTGGTTTTAGAACATACGGCATGACACCTATTTTTAACAGCCAATCAGCTGTTATTTCAGCAGCATTTGAATTATTTATTCTAAATACACTTTGAAATATAATAATATAATAATTGAAACAGTTTAAGTAATCTAGATTTATAATATATGAAACTCATTTATTTTAGTTAAATAAAACAGTGTTAGGTTTAGGTGGTGTGTGATTGGGTGTGTGAAGAGAAACCACTGTGAATAACACTGGATGTAATGATCTTTTCTGCAGGTGAAAGATGAAGTGGAGGCACATGGCTGCAAAGCTGCTCTACAGAAATATGACCACTATTCTTTGAAGGTAAATCATGATATGATTTCATGAAATTCTACAAAATGAGCAAGTCTGACTCACAAGACTATGTGACGTGCGCATAAAATTAAGGTTGAATGAGCTTGAACACCAAATCTATAAAACATCTGTTTGTTGTTTCACAGGAGTATCTGAAAGCAGAGGGTGGTTTGAGTCCAGAAGCGGTGAGGATGATTGGAGACTTACTCAATGAACAGAGTCTCATGCACCTGG